GTCCTCGTCCAGGGCTCGAAACCTGACCGCTCGATCTCTGGAGTCGAGGGCACTAACCATGAGGCCACCGCGCGTTCCACTATGTAGCTCAATACAAGCTAATCTGAGACCCCGAAACCCTTTGGTATAAAGCTCGAGACTACGTGGTAGAAAGAAATACACGAAAACGAGCCTTGTGAGTCGCTAGAAAAGCTCCTGTGATTTTGAAATGGGATCAAAAGTTTCCGAGATCTACCGTTTAATGTTGCCACCTCTAATTATGTTGGTATTATAACGTAGATAGTGGTAAGAAGACTATTGTTTCAGCAGTAGTTAACCTATTTTTTGTCTTATTTATTGCAGCATGTGAATGCAATAATCATTCTGAGAGCTGCGCTTACAATGAAACCAAAGGATTTGGTATCTGCAATGATAGCAAAGACAACACATTGGTAGATAAGAGTGACTTTTGCAAAGAGTCTTTTTACAGGAATGCAGCTGTACCTGAAAATGACTCAAACATTTGTCTTGGTAAGATCATTGTTTTGACGAGCAAACGTTTGTAGAACTTCAGAGTGCACAATCTGCCAAGTGGATTATTCTTTATATATTGAGTGTAATGAAGTAGGTGCAGGGAAGACCATACCACTTTTACAGCTTGGTTAATAGGAGATTTATCGTCACGTGTTTAGACCAATCGCGCGCGAACGTAAATATTTGATGGATTATAAGGGCCATTTTACCATGCTCTTCAAAATCTGGTAAACGTCTACGCGTAATTCTTGGGGAGGTTTTTATTTTTATTTTACTTTAATTTTCTGTCTTTTGGGGGAGTTTGTGATCAAACAATTATTCCACTCGCCCCTACTGGATATGTTAAATATTGTATGGTTTTAAAAGCCAATAAATCATTGATGTAAATAAATCAGGCACAAAATAAATTTACCCCTCAGCTAGAGGTATTATAAATCCATATGCATGTAGATATTTTACCCACAGGTTGTACACCATGTGAATGTAACCTTGCGGGAAGTAAGAATCCTGTTTGTAACAAGACGACTGGCCAATGTCCTTGCAAGGAGCATTCACTCGGCCGTCAATGCAACACGTGTTCACCTGGCTATGGCGTCATAAGTGTCAAAAATTCCAAGGGTTGTCTGAAGTGCCAGTGTTCGAACAAATTACCAAGCTGCGTGAGCGACCAAGGGTGGTTTGTTTCACAGATTACCACAAATCTGCCTGTCTTTTCATCCAATGCTGATTTTGATAACTGGACTGCCATTAACAGTGCTGGGAGCCAAGTAGGACTTGAGCTGGACTGGGTTGTGACAATTAGCATTAGTAAGTAAGTACAGATTGAATTCCATGTTGAATCAAGGGTGTTTGTATTTGACTGTCATGCGAATGAATGAGTGCAAGATTTTCTTTTCTTTCTTTTTTTCAAGACTTTCTTAATAATGCGCTGTACATTGTATTTCTTAGAATTTTGGCGGGATTTTGTCGTACTTTATTCAAAAGCACAATGTAATAAATATTGCTTGGGTAACGTTTGAGTCCCACAGAACAGGAAGTCACCATGCACCTTGTCTATTTGAATGCTCTTTTGATGGTCAAGGTACCTTCAGAATTTCAGGCCCTATTTACACTTGTTCCTTTTTCAAAATCTTCCATTTCTGTAAGTTCAAGCAAAATGTTTGTCTCCTTGCAACCGACATTTTCATATGCTCTGAAAATGAAGGTCATCTTGCTCAGCTATCCGCGGGCATGTTACAATTGTAATTTTAATTTGATAACAAATAAAATGTATGTATGTATGTATCTTGCATGTTTAATAAAGTGCAGTAAAGCAGATTTCCTGGTATTAGCAAAAAAGGATTGTAATATTACAATGATCAGTTTTTTCAGGAGTCCCCAATTTCATCTTTCCACACTAGCCTATGGTAGGGCTGCCTTTCCTTTCCGTGGAAGTATTTAGAAGTTTATGATTTTGTTTCCTTTTCACAGAGGATCGCTGAAAGTTGACACTGCTGGTTCGGAGGATGTGTATTTTGTTGCACCTGACAAGTACCTTGCAGACCAGAGATATGCATACTCTTTGGCGCTGTCATTCCATTTACAGCAGGACGATACCTCAAGCCCTACAGCATCCTCCAAGGGTGATGTTATTCTCGAAGGAAAGTGGTTTGACCAGCCGCTTGTCACTAGCCTCGATACTCCTCCGCCTGGTGGGAATAATTTTAATAAATACGAGGTAATTCTTATGACTAAATAGTGACAAATTAATCAAGTTGTAGAAAGTTTTTCACACATGGTAAAAGCCAGTCGAAATTGTTAACAAATCATCGAGAAAACATAGATATAATGCCGCCTTAACCCTATTTACCCTGTACGTCTTTTTACGATTTTAATCCTGGGAGGAGGGCAGCACCAAAAGAGGCACTTTGTTGCCCCCGACCATGTTGCAGTATTCTCTCCACTCTTGCATTATTACGTCGCCATTCTTCAACCGACGGGCCTTGGTAAGCGTAACCGTTAACGAGACGATTGTTGGCAAGCTTGTCGCATACGCGGTCGCCTTTGGAGATGCGTTTGCGTCGACCAAACGTAACGGGGCTTGTGAACTGATGAAGATGTCTTCTTGACGAAGGCAGATGAAGGTGTAATATAATGGGGACAATCTCTATGTCCTGTTTCACGTAAGGGCTCAACAATGCTCCGGCTGGGGGGCTGGCCGTTGTCAGAGAGGGCGCCGCCAAGTTGCTGTTGTTGACGAACTTGCCGCTCTACTCGGTCCGCGATTAGTGCCCTTGACTGCAGGAATAACCCACTATGTTCTCACAGTGCTTTATGAACCCAGATCACGGTATCAATGGATACCAGCGAATTTGATGCCGGCTGAGTCATGTTTTGTTTGTTTGTTTGTTTGTTTGTTTGTTTGTTTGTTTCTTGTCTTTATTATATATGTTCACTCAGTTTAATTGGTTCCCAGGTTAAGCTTGATGAAGGCGAATGGAGAGTGGGGAACACGTCTGGACGGCAGCCCACAGGAGAAGAAATGATACGAGTCTTGAGTCATTTGACTTCACTGCGAATCAGGGCCAAGTGGACAACACTAACAACTCAGCAATTTAGCCGGTTGGCGGACATTACATTGACTTTGAGTTCAAGCGGAAAGTGGGTGAATTAGCTCTATTGGGAAAAGGGTGAGAATGGCATTTTTCAATTTCGTTATACACGTGTACGTGTAAATGTATGTCAAAGAACTCTCAATAGGAGTTGAACTAGCAATCTTTAAACACTTATTGGATCCTTTAGGCTATTTAACTACTGGGGTACGGTTGTTTAAAACAGCGATTAGCGCTAATCGGAGATTAAGTTGCTAACAAGCAACTTTAATCTCCGATTAGTGCTAATCGCAGATTAAATTTTAATGGATTAAAATTTAACCTGAGATTAGATCGCGTTGCTCAAAGCCTGATTAGCGCTAATCCAACTCTAATTGGCGGGTTAAATTTAATACACCTCCGGAGAAGGATTAACTCCCTAATCTGCCGATTAAACTTAAATGAAAACGTCCAGGTTGTTGTTTCATCTCCCTCGCCTTGGACAATGTTACCGATATAATCATAACATACAGCTTATAGCGAGCAAGAGCTTCGGCTCGTTGGAGATTCGGCAGAGCGTCCATTGAATACATCACAAACCTCACAGAGGCAGATTTGCGGAGAAAAATGAAGCGTGGCCATGCTCTTGTACCAAGAGACTTAGTGCTGCTAGCAGGGAGATTTTATGCTAGTCGTGGCAACTTTCTTCACGGGCTTTTTTTTCGCCGGGGAAGCCAGTTGAAAACAAAAATTTCGCGCAATTCTATGACGTAAAATAACATAAGAATACATTATAAACAATTAAAATAATCCACTTTGCGCTTAATCGCGGATTAGTTAATAGGCGGATTGATCTCCTTTTGAACAACCGTTTTCTAACCCACGATTAGGAAATTTAATCGACGATTAGGCTTAATCGGAAGTTAGTTAAATCGCGGTTTTGAACGTAACGTAACCGGGCCCTGTACTACACAATTCTGATAATAAGATCGGAACTCTCTTCTCTTCAAAAAAGAAACCTTCCTAAAAAACTCCAAAAATGGACACAAAAATATTTCTAGTAACAAGCCCTTTTTATCCTCAGTTATAAGCCCAATGCATGGTCTCTGTTTTGGGTCAAAATGGATCAAAATAGATGTGTGCCATAACCTAGACTTTTAATGGTAGGCCTGAATGTGAAGGAAGTGACTGCATACTTTGTTTGACTGAATATTGATCCGTTTTTGAGAAAATCGATAGTAATCGTAATCATAGTGTATTTGATAGGGTTGAAAATCCCTCAACGAACTGCTCATGCCCTCCGGAGTACAAAGGTCAATTCTGTGAACAGTGTGCCAGCGGGTACACACGAATCACTCCTAATGGAGGACCATACCTCACGTTTGTACCATGCCAATGTAATGGAGGCTCGGACAAGTGTCATCCTGAAACTGGAGAGTGCATGGATTATCAACGCACCACTACAGATACGGACTTTGACAGCTGGTTTTGGTAACATTACGCTTTCAGATTGTAGCAGCCATGTAGCTCTGAGTTCAGTTTCCGTCTCGTTTGTTCCTTCATGTTTTGACACCAAAGCATCAGACAAGGTTTGATTTGTTGCGGTCTCTTGCATTGTCTTTCAGGATTCAGGACAACTAGGCGAGAGTAGCCAACGGAAACAGTGCTCGTTTCTGCGGTTACGTATGGTAAGTTTGAAAAAGCAGCAAATAATTGGTCCATCTGTGTTCAGCCTTGGAGAAGTTTGGAAGCCCGCTCGCAGGACCTAGGTATAATTCGGCGTAACCCGCGTCGAAGACATTATATTGCGTCGGTAAATTTCCGTCTGCAATGCATGCTTACTCGGCGCTGCGAAGAAAACAAAAAAGAATTCAGCCGATGGCAAACAACTCGATGTTCGTCATAATACATTTTTGTATTACAGTCAAACTAATTGCACTTAAGCTTGTCCACTGCTTAATATTACTCCATTGTACGAACTAAGCAAAAGCCGAGGAAGTTGAAAATCGACCCAAACAAGTTCTGATTACAAATTACGTTGCTTCTCCAGGATTGTTCATAATTGCTTCGTGATTCTTGTTTGAATTTTGAAATATCGCATTATAACGAATAAGTTAATCCCTCAAGTTATTATTAACAAAATGACTGTTTTGATCGTTTACCCGTTGGTATTTGAAATTTGCGACA